GATCTAACGGGAAAATATACTCTACTTAAGTGAATCTGATAGGGTACGTTGCTGCATCCATGATCTGGCATATGTGCAAAGGTTTGGGAAGCTATGCGGCTTTCCTAACTGCTCCTAGCCGGTGCCAGGGCAACCTTGAAACTCGATTGATGTCGAGTCCACGGCGGCATTGTCCAGTTGGTTCCATGCAATTATTGTTCGTGGGAAGAATGATTGTTTATATTGGACTGTGTTACACCGAGGCACAGCAGTGGAGCATTTACTACTGTTCCGGGTGTAACTGCTCGTGGAGTTGTCAGAGGTGATGAGCGTTTGGCTCTGATTAAGCGACCTGGCTTCTGTGGGGGAGATACGTGTTAGCTGGGATGGCCGGCACTAGCCCCGTGACCACTTTATATAAGAATGTAAGGCGGAGCTTTTCTCGTCTGTCTTTGAGGGAGGGGATGTCAAGATCGGTGAATTTTTTTAGCAATTGCTAAAAAATATTTATATTTATACACTAACAAAATTGGCAGAAAACCTATTAAACACATGGGAGAAAAGTTCTCCAGAAAATATATAGACCAACAAAGGATGAATATGCATGGAAAATACGAGCAAACCAGTCTATATTAGGAATTAGGATCCTATGCTAGTAGAAGAAATTTAAAAAAAAGGGCAGGCTACGCTGGGCGGGACACTTAAGAAAGAATGACAGAGGAGTGAAGAGGCTGCACCACCAAAACCTCAAAGGAAAGTGGGTCTAAGGCAGACCTAGGCTTAGATGGATGGGTGATGTGGAAAAATTGGATGGAGAAGGGATATATTGTGTTCAAATAGCATGGGGGTGGGGGGAGATAATGTGTTAACATAGCATAGAGGGGAAAGATATTGTGTTAACATCGCACAGAGGAGGGAATATTGTGTTATTATGGTATAGACTAGTATTGAGGGTGGGATATTGTGTTATTATGGTATAGACTAGTATAGAGGGTGGGATATTGTGTTATTATGGTATAGACTAGTATAGAGGGTGGGATATTGTGTTATTATGGTATAGAGAGGGGGTGGAATATTATGTTATTATTGCATATAGAGTGAGGGGGGGGGTCACACGTCATTTTGTTTTAATGTTGTGCTTGGCTATTTTGCTCATATTCTTAGTCACATTCCGTCACGCATCGAGAGTATTAATATGGCTCGACTTTGTGGCCACCGCATTTATCAGTGACAGGAATATATCACGAGTCTCAAAGCTTTCACAACGTTTACGGGTAAATGCTGTAGGTTGCCCTTCTCTCAACTTCTTGGACGGCGTCCATAAGTGTGTCTTTAAAGCCTTGTCATCTGTATCCACCGGCCTTGTAATTGAAAACAAGGCTGTTGTTTTTTGTTTTTTGTTTTTTTTTCTGTATCCCCCGTGGTTTATCTCTCATACTGTTGAGTGTTTCTGCGCGCCTGACAGGATTTCTACGGCAGCACCGGGTGCTGTGACATACGTCCGTCTCCGCATACACACCTTAGAGCTAGGTTCTGTGCAGGGTTCAGAACCATCTAGAGCCGCGCGGCTCGCAAAGGCCTAAGCGGGTAGGCTGTAATTAAATCAAGCGTTTCCCTTACAACCCCAAGATGAAGTCTTCTCAGGAGACTTGCCTCGGCGCCCCAAGTAGTGCAAGCCAGGCTTAGTTTCGACGTGGCGTTATCAGCTACGTAACATCAGTAAACCCCCTTTTTATTTGTGTATCAAAATATACTAAGTAGAATTATTTTAATTTTTTTTAAATCAATAAATATATAATATCATTCGGTAGCGTCTTAAGGCATGGGTCCCCAGGGCCTCACGCTTCTAGAGGGTCTCATACTTCTAAGGGGTCTCCCGTTTCGAAGGGATCTGACGCTTATAAGGGGCCTTGGCCTCATGCTTTGAAAGGGCCTCACGATGCTTCTAGAGTGACTCACGCTTCTTCTAGAGGACCTCGCGCTACTAGGGGACTCTCGCTTCTATATGCTCATGTTTCTCAGGGGGGCTCACGTTTCTAAAGGGCCTCTCGCTTCTATATTCTCATGTTTTTAAGGGGACTCACGCTTCTAGAGGGCCTCTCACTTCTATATTCTCATGTTTCTAAGGGAGCTCACGTTTCTAGAGGGCCTCTCGCTTCTATATTCTCATGTTTCTAAGGGGGCTCGCGCTTCTAGGGGACTCTCGCTTCTATATGCTCACGTTTCTCAGGGGGGCTCACGCTTCTAGAGGGCCTCTCGCTTCTATATTCTCATGTTTCTAAGGGAGCTCACGCTTCTAGAGGGCCTCTCACTTCTATATTCTCATGTTTCTCAGGGGGCTCACGCTTCTAGAGGGCCTCTCGCTTCTATATTCTCATGTTTCTAAGGGAGCTCACGCTTCTAGAGGGCCTCTCACTTCTATATTCTCATGTTTCTCAGGGGGCTCACGCTTCTAGAGGGCCTCTCGCTTCTATATTCTCATGTTTCTAAGGGAGCTCACGCTTCTAGAGGGCCTCTCACTTCTATATTCTCATGTTTCTCAGGGGGCTCACGCTTCTAGAGGGCCTCTCGCTTCTATATTCTCATGTTTCTAAGGGAGCTCACGCTTCTAGAGGGCCTCTCACTTCTATATTCTCATGTTTCTCAGGGGGCTCACGCTTCTAGAGGGCCTCTCGCTTCTATATTCTCATGTTTCTAAGGGAGCTCACGCTTCTAGAGGGCCTCTCACTTCTATATTCTCATGTTTCTCAGGGGGCTCACGCTTCTAGAGGGCCTCTCGCTTCTATATTCTCATGTTTCTAAGGGAGCTCACGCTTCTAGAGGGCCTCTCACTTCTATATTCTCATGTTTCTCAGGGGGCTCACGCTTCTAGAGGGCCTCTCGCTTCTATATTCTCATGTTTCTAAGGGAGCTCACGCTTCTAGAGGGCCTCTCACTTCTATATTCTCATGTTTCTCAGGGGGCTCACGCTTCTAGAGGGCCTCTCGCTTTTAGGGGCATCATGCTACCCGTATTGTTAATAACTATTGAACGATCTTTTTGGCTATTAATTTGCTTTCGAAGTCATTTGGTAGGCAATCTCCTAAGTTTCTGTGAGCAAGTTTTACATGTTTAAATAGGTTTTATAGGTTCTAGTTTTAGAAACATTCATCGAGTTAACAAAATACAGGTGTTGTTGTTTTTTTTAAAGTTTTACAATAGGCGCCTTGGTCCTATTCAAAAGTAATTCATCTGAAGATACTTGTAGTTGATAGAAATGCCAAATAAATCTTTCAATCTTGCACTTTGGGGAAAATGTATTCTGCTTCAACTTCCCTCAGATAAAATATCTCTTTGAACGTGTTGTCTTTTGTAAATATCTTAAATCTGCTTTAACCTACACATGTCATATACAATTTATTTTAAAAAAAGTATATGTCTTAAATAGACATAAAAATCTATAGACCTTATCTGCATAACATAATTTTTTCTTTTTTTTAAAATTTATAAACCAGGGAAATATTGTATAAAGCTAAAAATTAATTATTAGACGTATAGTTTTGTTTCTTTTTCGTTCACGTGTATAATTTTGTTAGCAGTACTTTTTTGTGACAACAAACCTCTTGTGAACGGAACAGTTTTTTTGTTTTGAAATCATTTAGCCTATTAGATCTCATAGTGAGAGATCGTTTGAACTAAAATGATAAAACAACATCACTCATTAAAAGAAAACTAAGAATGAAAGGTTTCTATGAGCACAACCAGGTCAAGATACATCTAAATTTCCACTAGCATCCAATGTTAACGAGTCCCATCAAACCGGTTGCTGGTGATGTTTTTGCTTTTGCTTGGGATTGAACTCGAGTCCACTAGCTTGGGATTGACTCAGTTTAGACCACTCGGACACCCTGGCGTAAAAGGTGATGTGCCACGTTCGTTAAAAATTATCGGTTCTAACAAGTCTGATCGGGTTGGTTAGTACTTAGTGACCTTGAAGTTCAGGCCGGGTCATCAGCACTATTTCGGTCTGGCTTGGTTCGTAGGCCTACATCAGGATGTTTAGGGCCTGGTTCGGTTCGGTCGTCAGCATGGTTTGGGTCTGGTCCGGTCCGGTCGTCAGCACTCTTTGGGCCTGGTTCGGTCCGCTTGTCAGCACTATTTGGGTCTGATTTGGTTCGTACATCAGCACTGTTTGGGTCCGGTACGGTCGTCAGCACGTTTTTGGTCTGGTTCGGTTCGGTTGTCAGCACAGTTTGGGTCTGGTCCGGTCGTCAGCGTGGTTTGGGTCTGGTTCGGTTCGGTCGCTTGACTTACAGCGAACATGCTACGTCCAGGTTTTTATCGTGTCACCTTTTGACAAGTGCATTTAGAAATAATACGTTTTTGACTTTTTTTGTCCCTAACTGGCGGTGCTCCGGTAAAGAAGCCGCGGCTTCACATGGTGCCACTGCACACAGTCTAGGAACCTTTGTTCTTTAGGAAATGTTTCTGACACAAGTGTGTGGTAATTTGATCGGTATAGCCATGGGATATAAATTATTTAGAGGTTTTATACGAAAAATTCAAGACAGGAGTGGTCAGAGTCAATCGCTCTTCTTAACTACACGCATCAAGATTTTATATAGGACACGAAACAGTAGTGCTAATGGCACTATAAAATTTACTATCTGAAAACCGCCCAGCCATTAATTTACTCCAAATGCAATAAAAGTGATTTGAAACATGTCTTGAACATTTTAAACTGAATTTTTGTTTAGGATGGAGGTGGTGCACAGTTTCGTGTCGTAATTCGTAATTTTTGATGGGATCTACATTTTGTGACGATTGGTTTGTTTGGGGGGGGGGGGGGGGGGGGGATACCAACTCCGCGAAATTGCGTGCTTAATTACGTCAATTTATTTTATTTTTATTTAAATATTTTTTTATTGCACATCAAATATTGTCATCATATTTTTCTAGATATAAAAAGGTAAAAAAAAATTACTTCTTATAAATGCAGCTAAACATAATTGTTTTAACCTATGTAGCCTATGAGCTATTCTTTGACAATCGACGTGTACAGAGGATTTGAATGTGTAAGTTTACAGCCAACATAAATTCAGTCGCTGAATAAGGGGAGGCGATTTAAATACCCGGAAGTGAGGAAGGGGTGTTGATCAAATAATTGTTTTGCTTAATATATATTATGTTTTGAGTACATTGTAATTCGCAATAAACATTGAAGCGGTAGATAATTCAATAGTTACTCAAACTATTATAAAACATGAGACGCCTTACATTCTAGTATTGAGTAGTTTCAATACTAGAAGTAAATTTAGGCTTGGGCTACATTACCTAGCGTAACGGTTTTAATATTAATTAATGCCCATGCCATACCTAGCGCCTAGCTAGCTGGCTAGAGTAGACAGGCTAAATCTACTAACTACTATTACTAGTACTACTCATTGACATTGAGCTAATTTCTGTACTTATAAGTACAAGTATTTGGACGTACAAGGATTCTTAATCTCTCTCCAGCCAAAGCTTTTATTCAATCAAGTATTGCATTTTAGTTTTAAACCTAGCCTAATAAAAAAATTTAAAAAAAAAGAATGTCCAGACAGCAGCTCCAGCAAACCTTATTTGCGCCCAATGATGAGCGTCTAATAACACTGATATCTGTTTCCAAAATGCCTCGGAAAACAAATCTAAAAAAGAGAAGCAGTTTGTTGTGTGCAGTATGTAAGTATATGGAAAATAAATTAAAGCTTTAAAACTGACCTGGGCTATCTTTGTGCCGTTCATTTTTGGATTTTAAAACACCAACCATGTTCTTATGATTTAATAAAATATATCATTAAGCTGAATTAGAGGTTAATTAAAATTTGAAACCCCATTACACAACACACACCCCCCCCCCCCCCCAACCTAAAAAAAAAGGAAGTGGGGAATTTATTCAACCTTAGATACGTTTTCTAACATTTTTCATTATTCAGTAAAATTCAAATTTAAAACTGTTTTTCCTTAATTTCAATAAATAATATCTCACATCTCCGCTCCACCTCTCTTAATTGCAAGTTACAGTGCTATGACTGCAGGAAATGAACAAGTATAAATGTTATAATACTATTTTCATAGTGAATACCATGGAGAATCCAGTCAAGGTGTACATTTATCATGTGAAGAAATCAGACAGAGCAGAGGGTTTCAAGAAAAAGATGGCATGGCTGTTAAGGGATTTGAAAACTCTTGATGGAAAATCAGTAGAGAAAGTAAGTAGGTATTTTTTGCTTTAGAACTATGTGTATCGAATTCATATCATGCGTTTGAAATTTAACATAACACATCAAAACACGACTTATCATTTGTCTGAGTCTGTTATCCAACTTGCATTGATCAGATTTACACTTGATGTTTGTTGATTCAGGTATTTTTATTTATTTTAGAATATTTGAAATTATTTTTAAAAATTAACATTAATTAATAAAAACATTTTTTTGTGTAAAGCATGTAAACATATTTTTTACTGAATATGGCTATAAAGACTTAAGTGGCTAAAATTGGTCATTTGTTCTGTACTCCAAGTCAGGAGGTCGTTATTTTTTTAATCTAATTTACTGTTGTATTTTAGGATGAACTGTTTAAATTCATCTTTGTAAACAAATATATTCATACCAACATCTTTGACCATTTCTTTTCTTTATTAAATTGTTTCATTTAAATATACAGGGTGATAATTATAGACTTTTACTTAAAGCCAAATCATCATACCAAAAAATTACTCTGTATGTAATATTTTTATCGCTTGAAATATTATTTTACATTTTAACAATTTGTTTAATATTTTTAATCTAGGTCACCTCAGACTTTGATCTTCATTTCTTTGATAAGACATACAAGTGGTCTGCATCTACTGTGGAAGAAAAAGAGACTTTTGTTTCGTCCTTATGGAGGGTATGTTGAACTTTTGTTGGTGAAGATTTATTTTTTTGTTTTGATCAAAATTAATACCATGCCGCCTAAAATGCAATTTTTGCATTTTTTTTTCATTTTTTTTGGATAAAATGTCTTAAGCCCAAGTTTTTAAATCAGTTAATAAAATGTTGAAATAATAAAATTGTTTCAAATAATAACCTAATCTTATGTTGACAGAAATTCATGTATTGCCTGTTCTAAACTTGATTATAAATTCCTTATATAAATGCCTTTTAAATGAGCCACCAATTATTTCAGTTGAGCCACAGATTTCTCATGCAGCGCCCAGAATTTGTCAATATTCCAGAGAGGCTTTTAGAAGGTATGTTCTAAACGTCAACAACAGTTATTAAAATATGAGCTTCTTTTCAAGAAAAACTAATTATATAATATTTCATTACTTTAACACTTCACTTCAACATGATTATTATTTTATTTAAAAAAAATGCCTTGAAAATTTTCGCTGGAAATGATAATTTTAGTGAGTTAATAGAGTGTTTATTTTGTGGTTAGTTGAGCATAAAAAAAAAAAAAAAAAAATCAATTAAGAATAATTCCTAGCCAAATCTATTTATCTCAATCCTTACAATTCTTTATTTAAAAATTGTTAGACTTCTAGACTGGCTTAAAACACCAATGTTTTTAAGAGGGAATAATGAAAGGAAAACTATTAAAATTGGGTCAGAGCAGTTTTTGGGAACTTCCTTAACAAAGAGCTACATTACACAAACAAATATGTCAGGAAAAAGTACCTAAGCTTTACTAATTTATTTTGACTCATGTCTGAATGCACTTGTTTATTGTGCATTCAAAATGTTCAAGAATGAAATGTAAATGAGCTTCAACTTTGCTGGCTTATTTGGTACAAGTTTCTGAATCCTAACGTGCTGCATGTATGGTGTGAACACTGTCAAATATGCTATCCTTTTATCACCTTCTTACTACCCTGGCCAAAATTCAACAGCATCCTTGTAATAAAAATAATTAAAATATCCTGATAATCTTGTGTATAAGTAAAGAAATTTTAGTCATAAGCATAATTTTAAAAGGCAGAGTCAACTTATCCAAGGGCAGTGCTAGTTTTGAAAGAATCTTATACATTAAATGCTTGGGAAATGTTGAGTTGCCAGCAATGTTCCCTTTAGGCTGCGCGGCCGCGCAGCAGTTTTGAGTACCGCGCAGCTAATTTCCACTTAAGTGTGTGTTTGTGACTGTAGGCTGTAAAATTTTGCGCACAAAAAAATTGATGCTGTAAAAATTTGCACACAACTTTATGATTTTGCACATGAACCAACAAACCTTAGAGGGAACATTGGTTGCCAGTAGTGCTAATGTACTTACTGGTAGCTGTATGTTGACCCAGATGCTGGCCACACACACACACTTAGGCAAAATCAGCTGTTTGTGCTTGACTGAAATCTGATACCAAGCCATAGTGATCATTGCTTACTGATGATTCCTTCAGCCTCTATCTATTATTGGAAGGAAATAGGACACTGATATAAATGATGGGATACCACTTAATACCACGGCCTGGGAAAGTGTAGGTCTAATGACACTGACCGTACTTTAGTAAATAGTGCAGTGATTGCTGCTAGCTAAAAATCTGATAAAAGTATAAAAATCACACAATTTCATATGCCCAAGTTTTACCCTCCACTAAGTAGAGTTATTGTAAAATTTCATACATTTTGGTAAAAAAACTTCCTTTGACTTATGGACGAGTAAATAACAGCAGTTCTTTCTTTTCAGATATCAAGGATCCTCACACTCTGAGAGAAAAGTCTCAATCCGTTGATGACATATCCATGGAGGGAGAGGACTACCAGGCTCTGTCGGCCAAAGAAGAGTCTGACCTTGAGCTTCTCATGTCAGAATGTCAAGTGGCCATCAGTAATGCAGAAGTTTTCACTGAGCAGTTGTCAAAGCAGTTATCTGTGCTTGATGGGGTAACACTTGAGTTTTCTTTCTGTAACTTTGTATTTGCATGTAACTTTACATTATATTTACATAATTTACATATTACTTTACATTATTTTTACAAATTTAACATCTTACTTTACATTATATTTAGGGCTGAGCTGGGTAAAGACCTGGATACCCAAAAATGCTGAGCATTAGCACACCAGGCACATACCTACCTGGTCTTGGCAAAACAACGGAACTGGGTCCGGTTGTAAAAACAAAAAGTTACCTTCTCATTTTTTTAATTGGGAGAAATAAAGAGGGCATGTGTATAAACAGTACATCATTTTAACATAATTATTTTGTACATTTTACATGAATTAAATAAATAATAATAGAAAACCTATGATTGATTGGTTCAAAGCTATTGTTAGCAAAAGCTTTAAAAATAATAATGTACTTACAGCAAATTTTGTGTAATTATTTGTCTTAGCAAGTTGGTTATGACTATGGCACTTTCTATTGACAATTAATATTTCACACTGTGACTGGCTGATGATGCTGAGAAGCAAAAGTTTTTTTTATTGTGTGTGAATGTCATTTGTAAGTTCTCTCATAGAATTAAATAATCATAATTTAATTTAACACTCATTTCATATGAGAAGCAATTGGCTTGACTGAAGGAAGGCTGGGATGGTATCGCCATGATGATGATATAAATATTTATTAAAATAACATGCTAACTTTGGTACATCAAAAATGAAAACTGCAACCAATCAGTGACCAGCGAGACTAATGTATATCCCGAAGCTCCTCTCCGTCTTTGATTTTTGATATGTTTATGGATTAAAGCAGTGGTTCTCAACCTTTGATCATGTCCCCCTCAGGGGTCACGTGACAAAATGTCACAGGTTGCTTGACAATTTGTACAGAGGGGTGGTGGGGTGTAAAATGTGCATTTTTTTCTAATTTAAATTTAATTTTAAAATCTAAATCTTATTTACAGTGATCAGACTAGTTTCTTAATGTACTGCAATCTGACCACATTATGTTGCATACAAGTTTTGAAAAAACTATGATTCATTCTGTAGATGTCAGCTGCTTATTTAATGTCAATGTTGAGGCATGTCCCTTTTATTTAAAAAAAAAATATTTATAATTGAAATTTTATTATTTCATTTTTTTAAAAACCAAAACTTGTCAGCTTACATGTAAAACTAAAACAATGTGATAGGCCTACAGTGTCCCACTCAACAGAGCCTCGACCCATTTTTAGCATTTATTTCTGCTTCCCTCCACTCCACCGATCAAAATTACAGTACCAACACCTTTTTCTACAAAAAAGCTCCATCCACCCCCCACCCCGCCCCTCCCCACCTTCTCAACACCTCAATACCATTTCTCAATCTCAAGTTATAAGTCTGGTTGTGGGTTGCCAAAGCTTGGTAAATGTTATAAAGGGAGCAAAGCACCAAAAAGGTTGTAAACCACTGTGTCAGGATTCTCTTTTCTTTTCTTTAAGCCTTTTTACCTCGTCTGGGGCATAGGCCGTCCACAAGAATTTTACAATCATCAGGGTCCTGTCAGGATTAGGTCTATATTATTAAGCTATTAGTGTTTTGAAGTCTTCAACTTTGATGCCTTTGTGATTGCTGCAGGTTTTAAACATACACTTTTCAGGTGGAACACGTTATAGAAAGTGAGAAGTAAACTCTGATTTTGTAACACTCAGACTCAGACCCGCCGAGTTCTGTCTCAAAATACCCAGACTGGGTGTAAAAAAAAAAACTGCACCTGGCTCGGCCCCTAATTATATTTACAAATTTAACAACAAACTGTACATTATTTTTACATAATTTACAAGTATTTTTTACTTGTAAATGTATATTTAAAAAAAATTCTATAGTGATTAAGTAAGTGGGGAATAGGGTAAAAAAAATTACATAAAACATATGCTCTTTTTATGCATAATTTAAAAAATATTTTAGGAAGTAGTGGGGTGGTAGCTTTAGCTTTAGTCGAACCCCATCATCCAGCATCAGTAGATTTGCCAATATGTTGTAGTCTGACCCCATCATCCAGCATCAGTAGATTTGCCAATATGTTGTAGTCTGACCCGATCATCCAGCATCAGTACATTTGCCAATATGTTGTAGTCTGACCCCATCATCCAGCATCAGTAGATTTGCCAGTATGTTGTAGTCTGACCCCATCATCCAGCATCAGTAGATTTGCCAATATGTTGTAGTCTGACCCCATCATCCAGCATCAGTAGATTTGCCAATGTGTTGTAGTCTGACCCCATCATCCAGCATCAGTAGATTTGCCAATATGTTGTAGTCTGACCCCATCATTCAGCATCAGTAGATTTGCCAATATGTTGTAGTCTGACCCCATCATCCCGCATCAGTAGATTTACCAATATGTTGTAGTCTGACCCCATCATCCAGCATCAGTAGATTTGCCAATATGTTGTAGTCTGACCCCATCATCCAGCATCAGTAGATTTGCCAATGTGTTGTAGTCTGACCCCATCATCCAGCATCAGTAGATTTGCCAATATGTTGTAGTCTGACCCCATCATCCAGCATCAGTAGATTTGCCAATGTGTTGTAGTCTGACCCCATCATCCAGCATCAGTAGATTTGCCAATGTGTTGTAGTCTGACCCCATCATCCAGCATCAGTAGATTTGCCAATATGTTGTAGTCTTACCCCATCATCCAGCATCAGTAGATTTGCCAATGTGTTGTAGTCTTACCCCATCATCCAGCATCAGTAGATTCGCCAATATGTTGTAGTCTGACCCCATCATCCAAGCATCAGTAGATTTGCCAATATGTTGTAGTCTGACCCCATCATCCAAGCATCAGTAGATTTGCCAATATGTTGTAGTCTGACCCCATCATCCAGCATCAGTAGATTTGCCAATATGTTGTAGTCTGACCCCATCATCCAGCATCAGTAGATTTGCCAATATGTTGTAGTCTGACCCCATCAACCAGCATCAGTAAAGTTGCCAGGTTGTTATCCCCAATGAATACTATTCCATGGAACATTAAATATCAATATGAACTTTAGAATGCAGTCTGATTTAACACAAAAGAGTTCACGCAAGTTACCTCTATGGTAAAAATAGCATGAGATTATGACCTTAAGTGCTATGTGGTTTATTCACTCAAACCAAATTTTATACAATAATGAAGATTATAGAATATACCAGTGTCTCTTTGAGAACTGAATTTTATTAATTTTATTTCTTGGGTACTTCTTCATGTGTAATTAGTTGAAAAACTTAAAATATACTTGTGAAACAGGCTAACATTCATTCCATCATGGGATCTGAAGACCAAGTGCTTAACTTGATGAGGTTGTTGGATGACGGCATCAAAGAAGCAGAACAAATTGAGGAGAAGCTCGATTCCTACGACAAAATTTTGGCGGTGAGCCACAATAGTTATTTTTTTAACTAATTAGTTGTGGTAAGCATTTTTTATGTGTCAGCAACACAAATTTTAAAAATATTTGAGGCATACCTATCAGACCTTAGTTTAGTAACACAAAATTGCTTTCATAAGGATTATTAGAATAAAGAAAAATTTCAATTTATCATGTTTGTGTGATTCATATTTAATTTTTCACACTAAAGGCATCATCCTTTATTAAGCTTTGGTCAAATTTTGGTGGCCACATCATACAAAGCTGAAAAACATTGAGTTTATGTGAAAGAGTAGCAATTATAATTATTGAAAAGTGAAAAATATGGCTGTGCAACCATTTCCATGCCTACTTCTCATGTGTAGAAGGAGATACATATTGATGCTTATCGTTATTTATTGTGATATAAGTGTTTAAATTTAATAAGAAACAAAAAATAGTAATTTTCTCAAATAGTCTGAATTGTTTGGGATACATTGTAAATTGTTTAATCGATTTCAGCCATATCATAATCAAAGATCCTTTGTTTTTCAACTCCTTTCCAAATTTCTTTTCTTTGGTTTCATAAAGTGAACTGCGGTATCCTAAAAGGGGAGTCCGTGGCTAATCAAACAAACCCTAAGCACAGAGTTTTATGTATAAATCCTTTATATGATTTTTTTATCATTTTATTTTTACATTAATATTTTAATGTCCCTCCCGCTTTTGCATTGCAGATTTATTTCATCAACTATTACACACCAAGCGCACTTGCAATATTTTGACGAATCTCATTTAGCGCAGTTATCAGGAATTATACTTCATTTTCCCCAGCAAACATAAGAAGTAGGCTGATGTGTTAAAATTGACTAACACTATACTTACTGAACCGTCCTCAGAATGTCAAAGAACAAATGGAGGTCATGAGAGACAAAGACACATTGATGACCATTAGAAATAAGAACCACCAGAGATTGTTGGAAGAGCTGCAGAATCTTGTGGTGAGATCCATTGGCTTTCGTGTATTTGTAATAAGTATTTTTAAATTTAGCAAATTCTGCAAAAAAAATTTAGATGACTGATTAGTATGTGATCTCAATGTTCATTTTTTGAATCATATTTTGATGTACAATGTAAAAATTGATGTAGATAATGAATGCCTTTCAGCTAACATGTAAAGAACCCTTGATATTAATTACACACGAGACAATTTAAAGACACACTTTTTAAAGCAAGATGGTATAGACAGAATTTTTTTTTTACCTGCCCAATGTACAAATTACAGTATTCTTAGGACATATGATAATAACTGGGGAGAGACTGCAATCAGGTTAGGTAGAAGGAAATATGTGAAACAAGGTATGGGAAAACAACAAATGTGTCAGCAAGAAGCCTTCTTCAGCAAACGAACAACAAGTAACACAAATACAAAAATTTAAAATAAACACTTAGCTGAAATGTAGCATCTCAGAGGACAGCAAGAGGACAGTGACAGTTTGATGAGTGTTAAAGTTATTGGTAGGCTTGAGAGTGTTGAGTTTTGTGACAGTTTGATGAGTGTTTAAGTTATTGGTAGGTTTGAGAGTGTTGAGTTTTGTGACAGTTTGATGAGTGTTGAGTTTTTTTTCTTTGTAAGAAAGAGATATAAGTATTCCTACTAGTGTTTGTTTTTCATCCGGTATGTTTTGTAGAATTTATTTTAAAAATTTATTATTCAGTAACAAATGTTTTACTTGACAATCTCTTCATAAAGTTGTAATTCATCAAATAAGTATGACACTACTGATCGAAAAAGGGGCGGGGAGTGCTATGAGGTTGGGGTGCAGTGTAGGAGTAACTGGTCCCACTCCCACAGCCATTAACTTTATAAATGTTTATTGTTTTAGCCCTATTACCTAAATTCCTTTGTGTAAAATGTTTCTCTTATGTCACTAACCCCAAACCCCCCCCCCCCCCCCCCCCCCCCCTTGTAAATTTTTACTTTATGTTGTGGTAATTTGATAAAACATAGAATCAACTCGACCTTGACCTGAAGCACATGCAAGCTTTGATGGATGGGGACCTGTCTACACAAAATGGTATAGTTGAGTGCACTGCTGCAGCCCAGGCCCTGCATCACTGTATGAATGCAGACATCCATCCCTGTAAGGCGCTAGCGATTTTTGTTATTTAATTCAGTTAAATATATATTTCTCACTCCTCTAATCTAAACTTCCCCTCTCTCTGACTCTGTCTCTCTCACTCTCTCCCCCTCCCTATCCCTCTCTCCACCGCCTCCCCCTCCATCTCCCAATCCCTCTTTCCACCTCCTCCCCCCTCCATCTCCCCATCCCTCTCTCCACCTCCTCCCCCTCCATCTCCCCTTCATCTCCCTATCCCTCTCTCCACCTCCTCCCTCTCCCAATCACTCTCTCCCCTTCCCTAGCCCTCTCTCCACCTGCTGCCCCCTTCATCTCCCTATCCCTCTCTCCCCTCCCCCCTCCCAATCACTCCCTCCCCTTCCCTATCCCTCTCTCCTCCCCCTCCCTCTCCCCCCAACTCTCCCTCTTGACATTTATAATATAAGATAATATTCTTTACATTGATCTTAATAAATGGAATTTAATTTTTTTTAAATTAAACTGTACCTTTTTATTTTCAGCTCATAGAGAAATACCCTTACCAATACAATATTTTTAAACAAGAACAAATTAAAAACAACAAATCTACAGTATTTCTCAGAGGGAAAAAAATCATCAGCAGTCATATACCATAAAACTTGGCACCCTCAGTGTCATTATTGGCTTTAAGAGTGATTATTTGAATGTTGTAGAACAAATAGAAAACTTTGACAAGAACACTGAGGCAAGTGATAAAATCAACAAATGTTATAAAACCCACAACTGTGATTAACTTTGCTAATGATTTACTGGTGCCAAAGAATGTAAAAGCAAATTTGATTCACAAGGGAATGCCTGTGACACCTAGACAGACAGAAATAACTTATTTGAATTTGAAGAAAAGTACAATAGTAAATACAAAAGGCTTTGAAAGAGCAAAAAAAAAGCGGTAAAGGATTTAGATGTTGAAGATCCCTGCCCCTTGCGACTGAACACAGTGAGGAAATCTGGTCATGGGTACCGGTACTCTGTTGATATAAAAATGAGTGTTATCAAATTAATCTCCTCATAACTTTGGCCAGCAGCTGCTTTGTCTTATTATTCAAATGCTTTTTTTCCCCCCTCCAGCTCTGCTACGAATGGGCGCGGTAGAGGAACAACAAAAAAGATTCAAGAAGGTGTCTGCCAACTTCTCCAAGAGACTTGTGCACCATTTGAACAACCTGTTCATCCAACAGGTGAGTTTGTAGTTCCTGAAATGCCATCATTTTTATTATTTCATAAGAACATTTTGGGAAAACCAGGTGCCGGGGCCATTTTCTGACAAGATGGTGTTATCACTGGTAGTCTTTTTATGTTTTTCATTCTAAAGCCTAAAAGAAATGGAATTATGGAATTAAAAAAAAAAAAAAAATGAAGTCTTATAAAGGAAGCAACAAACTATTCGTCTGTATTAACTTAAAGATCTACAACAGAAAGTCTGCACTATCCTGGAGTGTGCTCCTCAGTTTATATTAAAATTTTGAAACTTTCTGGAGATCTCTGACACAAATAACCAAACCTGCACCAGGTGTGGACTAAACAAAACAAAAAAAAGAATGTAACTGACACTTCTCAAGTCAAATGAAAATCATGTGCTGAATAAATTTTGTGCTGCTTCTTTTGAGTTAAGTTTTCGTTTTGGAATTTTGAAAACTCAGTTTGCTGAGTGTGAATATAGGATCCCAGTGGGAACATTTTTTCTGGCAAACTTTAATAGATGTGGTGAAACTCTAGGGTGCCATGGCCTGTCAGTAGAAAAACACTGCATACACAATGCTAGAACAAATTAATTAAATATCTATTTATCTTTCACAACACAGATGTTTCACACACAACCATAATAATTAGATATAATTATATTAGTTGCTACACAAGCTGTGAGAATATAATATATAAAATATATATATATATTTAATTAAATATTGCAATTGAATTTTTTCATAATATTGAATGATTATAGGAAATCAGTATATTTTCTATATATGTACCCAATTGTCATGATTCTTTTATAATTAAATTTATTAAGTTTGCATGGCTAATTAATAAATTTAATTTATCCATAAAAGTCAACCTCCTTCCAGCTCTGAATTATTTACTGCAAAATGTCAATGTACCCACTTGTATAAATTGTATATAAATTTATTTTAGATCAAACCAAGGCTCCAGTAATATTTTTTTTTAAAAGAGTTAAAAAAAAGAGAAATTTCATATTACCTTGAGTAATTTATTTGCACATAATAAAGAATAAAGTGCTTATTTTTTTATAAATCACCAACTCTTGGTGCAAGGATTTGGGAAAGGGGGATAAGTAATATATATCACTGAACATGTTTTTACATTTTCAAAAAAAATAATTATGTGGGGAAATTTAATTCTTAATTTTGAGTAAATTAAAAAATATAATGCATGCAGTTTTGAAATAGGTACTTAAAAATAATATCTGTAAATTTATCTTTTTTTTTTCCCCCAACATTATCTGTTCTTTATTTCCTTCAAGCTACATTCTCTGTTTTTATTGCCTTCAATTTCCATTTTCTGTTCTTTATTACCTTCAATCTACATTTTCTATTTCACATGCTTATTATTTGTTGCTAATTTTGCTTACTAAGTGAAGCATATGGACTGGTGTGTTCATTGGAATTTCATTAAAATGATCTGCAATAAATCCAAGGATTCTTTCCATCCTCACCATCTTTAAGCTCTGCAATTACAAGGCAGATATTTATAAATTGTAGAAGTATAACTTTTCAGTCACCACAATAAATAAGAGCTTAAGGTGATTTTGCTTAAGTAATGAGCAATAGGCTATTAACACAGGCTGAAGATTATACTACTCCCTGTATTTTAAATATTCACGTTTTATTTTATTTAGAACTCATTCATGCTCCTGTAAGTGCATTCTATCACTTATGCAGTGTTTTATTAGATAACTGTTAAATTTTTGTAGAAATATCAACATATTTCTGTAAGTATTTCACTTGAGAATTTTTTGCAATTTTAATTGAACATTTTTTGTAACATTAATTTTCTAAAAATTTGCACAGTACAATTCTTAGCAATAAAAAATGCATGCAGTCTTTTACAGATTGACATTAGTCCTGGCAAACAAATAAAAAATTGAATGCCATAAAACTCATATCACGGAATGTGTGCTGAAAGTATCTTTTGTTATTTTTTTAACACCCCAAGCCGCTCCCTCCCCCCATTTTTTTCTTTCTCTCCAAAGTTGTTTGAAGAAATTTGTATCTCCTGCATTTCTTTTATTTTGAATCTTTACATTTTCTCTTCTCACCTTCAATTTAAGCAAAACACTTCAAAAAGAATGAATTCATTTTTATCACACTCTTGTCTCTGACCCTAGTTAATACACCAGCTTGACATGCTTCTAAAGTCACATGATAACTATGTATCTCTCATCTATCATGTCAAGTATCTCATCAGTGCTCTTGTCATTTTTATATTCTTTATGTCTGAATGTGACACTGATCAAAATATTTCACATTACTCCTTGGGAGGAATGATTTTATGGTTACAGCACAGCCTTAAATCAGACCAATCCCCTTGGCGTCACATGACTGTACTTGACCTTATTTCAGCATCTTCTGTACACCAGACCCTCATCATCTCATTCCTTTTCTCACCTCAACTTTCCTCACTTGCCAAGTATGAAAATTAAAAGAAAAGAATTATAAAAAATTTGTATAACAAAGATGAGTTCAAATTTATCAGATCATGTTTGATTAGTTTTCTTATTAGTTACACACTTTCATTGTAAACTTTCATTTTAATTATATTCTAATTGATCGCAATGGTTTACCTACTATGTATGAACTTTCATTACAATTATAATATAATGGATCAAAATGGTTTTCCTACTATGTGTGAACTTTAGCAATAAAGGTTTATAATAATTCTGTACATAAACAGGGATCCTGAGAGATATGTTTGTGAACAGTCTTTGTACATGATATGGTAATATGGGGGAGACACTGCAATCAGGTTAGCAAAAGAGGAAATGAGTAAAACAAAGTATGTGAAAACCTGAAGATTAATGCATCAAAACAATGAACGTGTTGGCTGGAAGCCTTTGTCAGTGAACAAGCAACAGAAAAAACAGAATTTAATTAAAAAATAGCACTTAGCTGAAATGTAGTATCCGAGAGGGCAGCAAAAGAATTGTGACACGAAACATTTAAATCAAAGAGATAGTCTTTTATAAAACGTATCTCCATCAAAAAGTAAACTCTCACACTATATAAAAGTTTGGTCATGTAATTTTCATTAGTTTCTCAATTAAAAACAATTATTGAAGAAAAAAATAAGGGTTGAGGGCTATGAACTTTGAACTGTTTATATGAGATCAGCACTTTGTTTGATATCAGAAACACGGCACACAAAAGCTGATGAAGTTTTTCTCTTTTAAATGTGATTATAAAATCTCCCAACTTCTTTGTGTTAACTCAAAAATAAAGTTTGCTATGAAAAACGGCACCTCTACACGTTATACACACATCACTGGCTAGAAGACGGCAGTGCTGTTATGTAAGCCTTGTATCCTAAATGTTTGAGAACCTCTGAGCAACAGGTTATTTGTATACATGAATTTTTTTATTGAAATCACTAAGGGTTAACAGCTTATTGATTCCAATGTGAACATTTTTATGAACGCTTCAACTTGTCATCCTTAAAATTTATTGTGCACTTATTCCTTTAAATGCACTCATTTGAACTTTTCCAGGGAAATGAGATGGGAGGGACACTCAACAGATTTGGTCCGGAGGCTAAGCTCCCATCACACAGCACTATTCACAAGGAATTGGTCATTTATGCTGATCTCATGCTGTGGTTGAAAAATTCAGATGAATCTGTCTTCCAGAAGCTTTCTGCTGTAAGTAGTTATTGACAGTGAGTCCCATAAATTTTTGAGTTTATTTGAGCAATTTTTTCCAATATTTGATCATGCTGAAGAGAGATCTCTGTATTGTAAATGTGCCGTTTACACTTAGGTGCCTTCCATTTAGTAAACATTTCTCTGCAGGTCTACATGAACAGTTTAAGTAAGCTCTACACTAGGGAGATTTCTGAATTTCTAGAGGGCTTCAAGCAGAAGTTAGTTGCAGGCAAAGACGGAAAATTAAAACATGGTATTGTATTGTTGCATTGACTGTTTTTTTTTTAAATACCTTTTCCTCTCCACTTTTAAGTTGGTAAAAAATAAAGTCACAATACAATTCTTAGCAATAAAAAAGCATGCAGTCTTTTACAAATTGACATTAAACCTGGCAAACAAATAAAAAATTGTATGCCATAAGCTCATATCACAGAATGGGCAGAAAGTGTCATTTGTTATTTTTTTTAACAAACTTTTCCTCTCCACTTTTAAGTTGGTAAAAAATAAAGTCACAATACAATTCTTAGCAATAAAAAAGCATGCAGTCTTTTACAAATTGACATTAAACCTGGCAAACAAATAAAAAATTGTATGCCATAAGCTCATATCACAGAATGGGCTGAAAGTATCATTTGTTTTTTTTTTTTAACAAACTTTTCCTCTTCACTTTTAAGTTGGTAAAAATTAAAGTTTTGAATATGATTGATAAGCTAAAGAAATCTGACCAACACCCTTTCCGTCCCAGTCAAATGCATTCCATTTTGATCATCTAATGCTTTTCATTTAAAAGAAAATTCTTGACAAGTTAATTAATATTGAGTTAGTACAAAGCATGTACCTATTTATCTCCCATTGCTGTTGAAAATTCACTAACTAATCCTGAACTCCACCTTCTGTAAACGCCATGTGTGATTTAAGCTTCTTAAAATATGCTTGATGTGCAGAGTTCTAACGCTGATCATCATTCCACTTTTAAAAAAAAAAAATTATTTTTCCCTGGTAGGAACGGCCACGTTGTCCAGGTTAACTGGGTCCACAACCAGTCTGGCCAAGATAGATCGGGGACGCTCGGGATCTCTTCAGAGTCATGACGGCCAGCAGCCAACCGGTGGCTCTACCTCGGATCTGTTAGGGAAAAGTCATTTTGACAATGTAGGTGTAGCAGTTTAATTTTTTCAGAGGATTTGATTATCTAGTTTTTGTATCTTAACATGTAAATTTGACATGACAAATTTTCTCTTTAAGACTTATAACAATGACACTTCTTCCCCCCCCCCAGTAGTTGGAACCGTTAGGCCTGCAGTGAATAGATTGGGTTTTAGTAGTGGTTTTAGTATGGGGTTTAGTAATCAGAAATGTTTACAAATAATTATTAGTCTTATTTTTTAACTTTAAAATAAGCTTTTGTGTGGTTAGACATGGGGGGGTTGATATATTTTTTAAGTTTTCTAAAAAGTGAAAAATATTTGTAAGCACTTTCCAAACCAGATTTCAATATTTACATAAGAGCTATGTATTGAATGCGGACCAAAATATCGGCAGGATATTATAAAGTGTTTAACATTTTTCAGACAAGAAAGACTTTTCTCATGAGAAAATCAGTTATCAAATTAATTTAAAAAGAAATCAGTCGACTGAATATATTTTCAAAAGGCATTGAAGTGTTATTTTATTATTTTTTTTAAAAACATTCGCAAAATTAATCTTTTTGTAAATTTGAAGGAATATATATATATATATATATAAGAAACTTACAGCTGGAGTGTGTACTAAAAAAGGTTGATAACTCTTGTCTGACATCTCTGGCTATTAGAAGCATTTTGTTTTCATAAAAATCATTCCTATCTACATGTTCATAAAGCAAACTGATTAATGTCCCTCTAATGTTGTTAGAACTTGGAGCATGTGTTGACAGAGCTGGAAAGAGTCTGCATAGCAGAGCAAGATTTTTGCTTCAAATTTTTCCACCTCATTGATAAGAATCCACCACCGGAAGATCCCCAGGCCAAGGTGTGAAGAAAACAATGTATAGTCTTCCATGTTTCTTTAATGTCATAAATCCTATCAAAATATTTGATGTGTTTTTTTATTTATGTTTAAAGTAGGCTAATGAAATTAATTTTAACCATCATAATAGTTCTGATATTATAAATGTTAATTTTCTGACAGAAATTCATTTACTGATAGAGTTGACGTTTCATTTTGTGATAATCAGTGAATTATTAACAAGTACGGACTTATTATTAACAAGTGCAGAATTATTATTAACAAGTACAGAATTATTATTAACAAGTACAGAATTATTACACTTTCATCTGCCCTTTATTTATGTAATGTGTATTTATAATGTAACTGTGCAATGTGTTCTTAAAGTTGGATATGTATTTGCAATGTAATGTGTATGTACAATATAATATGTATGTACAATGTAATGTGTATGTACAATATATAATATTTTTTTAACAGTGTAATGTTGATGTACAACTAGAATGTGTATTGAGTTTGAAGCTGTGCAGCAGAGTCACAGAGAAGATATCTTCTTGATGTCCAGATAGATTTGAAATTGTTGATTTTACCTGTCAGTCGTACAATAGCAACTGATCATTTCATGAATGGGCTGAATCGATTACTTGAGAAACCTTTCCGCTATGAAGACCTGGTAAACATCAAAGTCACATTTTGCCAGGGAAAGGCATGATGAGACATTGACATCTGCAACCATTTGATGATCCAAGGGCATGCTGGTTTAATCAGACTTTAACTTAAGTATTAATTATTCATCTGTTACAAATTTAAAGACAGCATTCTGTAATATTTTTTTAGAATCTTTTTTTGTACTTTAAGGAAAAGGATACTTCTGCTGGGGGAGGAGATGGAGATTCTGACGTCTGGGTCACAAGACAAACCAATTCAAACTCAGAGTAAGTTCCCTTGTTTTTTTAAATTATATCAAACTGTGTAACATGTATTTAAAAAAAAAAAAACTTAGCTTATCTGTAATTGTTTGTGTAATATAGGAATTGTCTATCTTTAAAATAAATAAATGGAAATGCTTAATTACAGCCAACAGCTAACGACTGCATTTTTCTGAGTATATGTCACAATTTTTTCCACTAATGTCTTGAAACTGGGATATGGCCTTCAATCGCAGGTAGTGCAAAAATAATAAAAACGGTATAGATCAACAAAGGTAAATAAGGATGCAGTTTATAATCAAGAGGCTCCTTTACTCTGAACAATGGGTTATTTAAAACAAACCAAATAAGGTGAAATTACCTAGCTGATATGCACCAAACTGTAGAGCTGCTCTTCTGTGACACAACTGGCACTTTCAATTAGGGTGGGGGGAAGCATCTCAGTGAGGGTTTAATCCCATTAAATATCCTATGTACATTATGAAATTCATTATTCATATACATTTTTCCGAATTTAAAAACTATGTCATCCTCATTATAAATACATATCTGCTACTACTATGCTACCAACTATTCCTTCAACTAGACAATATAATGTACAAACAAGTTATTCTGGCAACCATCGTTTGCTGTAATATTCTTACTAACCAAAAAACCACTTTATATTAATAATACTATTTAAATATTATTTCATCAACTTGAGTATTAGTGAACCCAAATATTACTAATGTTTTAGCTGCCAAAGGAGACTTGCATAATTTCTCTTTAGAATACCAGGGTGCTGGTTTAATGACTATAAATTAATGCTAGTATAGAAATCTCAGACCCAATAAATGTTTATTTTAAGAAATGATGCCTAAGGTAACTATGTAAAACTATTTTCAATTTTGTGATGAACTTTGTAAATGCTGATTGTAGAAGAGTTCAGGATTGAAAAGGGACTTAGTGAAGCTGAATGGTATTTTTGGGGGAAAGGAATTGCTGAAAAATATATTTATTCATTTCTTGGTTAAAATAAACTCAAATAGAAGACTATTCTGAAAATATCCTCAATAGTCAAGTACCCCGGCACTCAATAACTATATTTGGATTCACTACTGAGCATACATAACGCCAAGCTGTATCTTTACATCTTTTAGTTTGGAGGATGGGTGTAGGGCTTTCTTTTTTTACACAATATAATAAAATTTCTAAACATTTAGATCTGTGAGTGGTCCTGGGGAAGGAATTATTAACCCCAGAGTCTGGACACATGGGTCTGTTCATGTCACAGATCTTTGCCTTAAAGTATAAAACAGTTTTGTTGAGAATCATGTCAGAACTTCTTGTTTATTCTTAAAATACTTCATTTCATATTTCATTATCTTGAGACAATTTACATTTAAGAACAAGAAATCTGGTTCTCAGTTTGAATTTCCTTAAAATGAAAGATATTACATATCAAATTGAACAAGGTTAAACAATATTTAACAAACACATGACTACATTTCTTAAAATCATTTTGTGCTAATTTTATGCTCTATGTATTTACAACTACTATAGTTTTGATTAACCAAAGACATAGACTAAGCATAAGAGTATACTACAGCCTAAATAACAATTGTCAAAAATTATGTTAACAATGACTTAATCTTACTAATTTTTTGTGCATTAATGCTATTATTATATGATGTTTTTCTTCATCGTTCATTTAAACGTTTTTTAAGGACAGACTTTTTGTTATCTTTCCACTCAGGTTTTATGGAAACTCTCTTACAAATTTTTTGGAAAGCCATTAAATTTCTTGTAATTGTAATCATTTAAATAAAAAATTATTTTTTTTTTCAACAAAAACTAAGGATATTTTCTTATGCAATTTTAACATAGCAAATTAACAGAATTTCCTAGCTCTAAAATAACAATTTTTTTTCCTTTAAAATAATTTATAACTAATTCAAAAATTCAGGATTCCAAGAATTAAGATATTCTTAAAATAAATTACATTATTATGTTATCAAGTACTCAGACACTCATATGTTCTAATTAGATTACTGATTCTGAATAAAAAATAAAGTTGAAAGAGCCTTGTGTTGTGTTGACACAAATGTCCACCTAATGTGTATTCTTTGTTTTATCACCATGTTTTTTTCTAACATAATTCTCTTTAAGCTGTTGATTAACAATAACCCAACCCACCCATTTGTTCTAGGGGTGACTATGTCACAGAAAATCTCGGTGGAGGCCTCTTACAAAAGAGAGTCACGGTCACCTCCGAAATGTAAGTAGTATGTGACTGAGAACCCAATAACATTCTGACAATATGTGCAATCTGTCACCAATAAATTAAAATGTTTATTTGGTGGATTTTTTAGTTGGGACTATGTCACATAAGCTTGACCCTTAACGTAGCAGTAGTATGGAAAAATCCATCCCAAGAAAATTATTCGAAAGCTTGCTTCATACTACTGATATTTTCATTTCAAGAATTTAAAAAACCTGAGGTCATTTCAACTCCTTTGTCCAGATATATCACAGATTGTAAAAAAAAAAAAAAAAATTCAACACACATTCCTTTATGATAATAATGTGTTTAAAATAACTGGTTTTAAATACTTTTTCTACTTAAAGACTCTAAGTACAAAGTTTTTTTGCTATTTAATAATGGATGCAACCATGAGGCTTCGCAAAAAACCATCGAAGTTGTCGCTGCTTTGAAGTAATAATAATTTTTTCCAAGAAATGAGGAAAGCCGTTTGCTTGTCACTAATAAAATGCAACTGACCAACTGACCAAAACATTGCTACTAACTTGTAATACTGCATCATCCTATTGGTGTAATAACAATGAAATTATCATAGTCTTTCAATACTTCATCATCCTGGTGTCATAACAGTGTAATTATCACAATCTTTTGGAAACCTTGCTACTCTCTGAGGTATTTGCTCAAGCCATTCACCTGATAATTACCAATTGTTAACCAAAGCAAGGAAGTCCTTTAACCTGATATTTACCAATTGTTAACTAAAGAAAGGTTGTCCTTTAAGTCATTTTGTTTGAATGCATTTACCTAAGTAAAGATTTTGATCATTGTCCCACAATTAATCTGCCTATTGGCATGAAAATGTCAGCCATTACCTTGTCACAATGCCTTTAATCTAAAACCTTTCAGATTTTTTGTGACCTTGAAATAAACATGTCTTAAAAAAAAAAAACATTAAAGTCTTATTAAAAACAAAATATTCTGTAAAGTTTTGTGAAAGCAACAATGTTTAGTCCCTTTGAAAACAATGTTCAGTCTGCTGATTAAGTCCCTTTAAACCCAATGTTCACTTTTATTTCTTCACTGAATTCATTTATTAGGCGACAGATCAATGATCAAGTCAGGTAAGTTGCAGATAAAAATAAAGATCTTTTTTCATAAATATATAGTGGTAATGTGGTTTCTATAGTATTTCTTTTAGATGTACTGTTTTCTGTTGTTGTTTTTTTTTGTTGTTTGTTCTTTTTAATATTCACCATACTTTGGTCAGGGGAAGGATGTGGAATAAACTGAAATGTTTTTTAAAAATATGTCAAAAATGTGAAATATTTCTTTTAGATTTCATTTAAAAATTAACACTCATGACCTCTGACCTAATTCTTTGAACTGACCAGGACCATGATGTCAGAAATATTTCCCACACTTGAAACGGAGCTGGACAATTACCTCACGCATGCTGACCGCCAAGATGGGGTGTAAGTTATGATCAGAATCGGTTTAAGTAAATTGGATGATTAAGTTTAAAAAGTATGAATATATTTTTATCTTCATAAGTTTTTTGTAAATAAATTATTGAGCCAGCAGTTTTCCGTGGTAAAATATGGTTGATTTGATGAAGAATACACAGTTACTCTATATGCATGTTGTTAATTTCATGAACATTGCACTGGCTCTTTGTGAACATTTTTTTACAATTTCATAAAAATCGCACAGACTCGCCATAAACATTTTATTAATTTGATGAACATTGCACCAGCTCCTCATGAACATTTAAAAAATTTGATAAACCTTGAACAGGTTCTCCATGAACATGTTGGTACGCATGAGTCAGCACGTCATCAACAGCCAGGACATGGGCTCATACCTTGGCAAAACATATGGCAACTGCCTCATTAAAGTCAAGAGAAACTTTGATAGATATGTTGTAAGTAAATTCTTGCTTATGGAACAGTTGAAAATTCAATAGGTATGTAGTAAGTAAATGTTTTCATATGAAATTGTTGAAACTTGAACAGAAAGATATAATCTTAGTAATGCTTTCTTGTGAAATTATTGAAAATCTCCTCAGTTGATGAACAAGATTTTTGTGGCTCATTTCTATGTATAAGATAATTACAACTTAAATTAAAGTTGTTGTCACTCAAAAGTTGAGCATTACATTATATTTTATTGTGCTTCAATTTCTCAAAGATCATCCACTATGAATTGTTATACAGGATTCCATGATGCAAGCCATTAAGGAGACCAAAGTGTCCAAGAAAAGTCGATGTGGCATCATCAGTTTTGTGCACAATTTTGAGGTGAGGTTTTCATTCACTGATGGTCTCTTTAAAAAAAAATAGCCCCACAACATGGTTTTTTTTTTTTTTTTTTGACATGTTTTATCTGAGTTATTAGATTAATTCATTTTCAGCGGGAAACAAACCTAGGTGCCGTTTTCACTGAAAATTGAACTATAAGAATTTAAGAAATAAAGTACAACAAAATTTTTTAAATTATTTTTTTTTTTTTTCTTTTTCTTTTTAAAAAAAAATATCCCTTTATTTTGGTTTTTTTTTTTTTTTTTTGACATGTTTTATCTGAGTTATTAGATCAATTCATTTTCAGCGGGAAACAAACCTAGGTGCCGTTTTCACTGAAAATTGAACTATAAGAATTTAAGAAATAAAGTACATCACAATTTTTTAAATTGAGGCACATAAAAAAACTGAACTGAACTAATGTGTCTCTGTCGTCCCCGTCCCGTCCCCCCCCCTCCGTCCCCCCCCTGAGGACCTAGATTATTAAAAGCACTTTTGTTTCAAGCAATCCAAAATAGAAGAATCTATTCGATTTAGGTCAGGTAAAAAATACACAAGGCAAATATCAAAGGAAAGAAAACCCTACTTGGAATTAACCAAAAGATTAATTATTGCCCTCCCAGGAGTTTTCCAACCTGGCAGAGAGCATCTTCAGAGGTTCTGACCGCCACACAGATCTGGACAAGGCTTACACCAAAGTTGTACGGGTCATCTTTGAGCAGATTTTGCGTGTGTCCCAGGAGCACCAGAAGACTCCCAAAGAAGTGGTTCTCATGGGTATGTGTCTGTGTGCAAACATCAAGGCTGCAAATTAAAATTACTAAAGTATCTTTTCACAAATCTTAACATTTTAATATACACATATTTATTTACTGTTTAACATTATTTTACAATTCAATGCTGTGCATTTCTTTGCCGATTTTGAAGGATGTTCTTAAGGGATCACCACTAACCTTCATGTATTTTATTTCATTAATTTTTTTTTAACATGGCAGCAATGTGTTGAACAATATTATTGCATTCAACCAAATAGGAATATTCCAATCTTAAATAAATTGTAAATTAATATTTGTGTGTACAATTATTTGTTTCAGAAAACTTTCACAGAATGTTTTGTAAGTGCTTATGTGATTTGTTTTAATTGGTGCTTTTTTTTTTTTTTTTTCTTTAAATGTTGGTCAAATTCAGTACTTCATAAGTTACCCCTGAAACTTCTGATGAAGTTTTTAGAAATTTAGAGGCAACTGCCTTTTTTTTTTTTTTTTTTTTTTTTTTTTTTTTTAATTGGTTATGTTATTTTTTTTAATTTTTTTTTTTTTTTTTTTTTTTTTCTTTAAATGTTGGTCAAATTCAGTACTTCATAAGTTACCCCTGAAACTTCTGATGAAGTTGTTAGAAATTTAGAGGCAACTGCCTCTTTTATATCCATCTGGGCTTAACAAGAGGGTTCTAAACTGATGACTTGAGCTTTTATTATTTATTATATTTATCTTAATTTATCAAGCAATCGGTTAAATTAAATTACAGAAGTGTAACCAATAAATGTAATTTACTAGAGAAGGGGAGGAAAATTCATGGGCTGCTTCAAGAGGAATTCATATTTCTGGTGCCCTGATCCAAGAAGAGTTGTCTATCCCAATGATGCATTTTGTCATTTTAAGTTAATGAAATTTTGGATTTCTCAGCTGAGTTGAATGAGTTAAAAACTGATGAAACTTTTGTTAATTTGAGTGAAAGAGTGGCACTAGCTGTTTGCTTTTATTTAGTAGCTCTGTTGTCTTGACCTGGTCAGTTTTGTTTTTCCAGCCATCCTGTCTCACCTGAAGAACCAATGCCTAGAGAATGATAGGAAAGAAGCCAAGCAAAGGTACACAGAGAATCTACAGGCTTATACAGTGAACCTCCTTGGCAGACCATTGGAGAAATTACATGTGAGTAGGATATTGTATCACTGATGTTGTTCTTAAGGGATTTATCATCCAAAATGTGTTTAGTTTTACAAAAACATCTTTCTTCAAATAGCTCTTCAAGTGAAGGATGTTTAGTTTGTGTTATGTTCCTAGCTTTCTTGATGAGTCGGTTTATGCGGTGTTTAATATCAGACGTTGAATTCCGACACCAGCAGGTAATACTGAAGTTTATACAACTTCCTTCTATAGTGATAGGTTCACAATGTGAGTGATGTGTGGGAAATGGAAATGGAAAAAAAAAAAAGATAGGGTTGGGGGAGTGAGCTTGGTGAATCCTGAATAGACAGTCCCAATTAATTATTAATATGTTTCTTACTTTGCAGATATTCTTTGAAGGTGTTGAGGCACGTATCTCTGCCGGTGTCAAACCAGAAGAGGTGGGCTATCAGTTGGCCTTCAGTAAACAGGAGCTGAGGAAGGTCATCAAGGAATACCCTGGGAAAGAGGTACAAGTAATGTCTGTGTGGTCCATCAGTGGGTAATAGTAATGTCTGTGTGGTCAGTCGGGGGGGGGATAACAGTAATGTCTGTGTGGTCAGTCAGTACTTACTTACTTATGCCTTTCTACCCGTCTGGGGCATAAGCCGTCTACAAGAATTCTCCACTCATCATGGTCCTGTGCTTTCCTTTCCCATTGCTTCAAGGTGTATCCCATACTTTGTGTCTGCCTCTAGCTCGCGTCTCCATGTATTCCTAGGCCTTCCCCTCTTTCTTTTTTCCTGTTGGTTCCATGTTAGGCATTGTCTGGTGGTGCTATCTGGGGGTTTTTGGAGCGTATGCTCTATCCACCTCCATCTTTTCTTTATGATATCTTCATCAATGGTCAGTCAGTGGGTAGCAGTCATGTCTGAGTGGTCAGTCATGTTACATGGTAGAACTGTTTTGTTTATATACCCCACTCACCTAGGCTTTTCAGCATACCACCTTCCAGGAAGGTTGGCAAGTTGTTTGGCCTACATTTAAGCCAAGCAAAATGATTCGGTATCAGTACTGGTTGTATTCCCCTATATTTAGAGAGAGACCCTTAGTTTCAAGAGGAGCATATTGATATGTGACTGGCTTTCCATGGCATTTGCTAAGTACTAGATAGGGCCATCACATAGTAAGCAGCCATAACAATTCAATGAACTTAGACTAGTTATAGTAATCTTTACATTACTGTGAGAATTGGATATTGTTAGTGTTAGACCTCTATTCATTTCTTTATATGTAGATTTTATGTATTTTTGTTCATATTATATTCCATGTAATAAAGTACATTTATATAGAGCACTGATTGTCTTCAGTTTAGCCAATAGTGTGTCTAAACTCTACCTGTGTTAGCCCCTTTTCCAATTCCCCAGGCCATGAGCCTGTTCAAAGTCATTGAACAATATAGGGGGCCTAACAGTCATTAAAAAGAACATTATTCAAGATTCTTTACTTAAAACTAAATATTAAATATAGGCCATCCTCAAGTTCTGCCTGATACATTGATGAAATATTGGGATGACATTGTGAAGATAAATAGTAAAGAATTATCAAATAAAAATTGCAATTATGATTAAAGGATTTTTGATTTTCTGTTAACCCAGTTCTTTTAGATTAAGATAACAAGATCACCGACTATGGTATATGTGTCAGAACGTGCGCTTAACCTTGATACTTGATCTTTTAAACTGGCTTCTTTGCTGATCAAGTTTAATCTCTAATATACTCTTGACGGCAACAGGTCAAGAAGAACCTGGAACACCTGAATAAGAAGGTTGAGAAACAGTTGTGTGAGGAGGAGAACCTGATACAGGTAGGCCTGTGGCTTCATTTTTTGAAAAGTTGATTTATGTCCAGGGCTATGGTAATTATTGCCTAAGAGTATAATATTTTTCTCTCAAAGTTATAATCATTTTGTCCAAGGGCTAAAATCATATTCTCACAAGGCTATTCCTATGGCATACATCCTATGTTGTTGTAAGCTAGATATTTTATGTTTACTGATCAGCTATGTATTTTATTGTTTATAGTCACCTATATATTTTATGTTTAATGCTCTAATTGAATAATTATTACAAAACGAAAAACCTTATCATAGCCGAACATTTATTAAATCCCTACTATTGCTTAGCCAACTATTTTGTAATGTTTTAATTCATTGGCCCACAATTACCGCTATCTAATGTTCCATGTGATGTCCCCCTGTTCCCCAGGTTGTCTGGCATGAGATGCAGGACTTGTTCATCAACCAGTACAAGTATTACGACAACCTGATGAAGAAATGCTACCCAGACTCCAACATAACATTAGACTTCACCATCGAGCACGTGCTCCAGTTTTTCTCCGACATCGCCCAGTCTCACTGAATCAGGCTGTTTCTTTGTCTTGTGTACAAACTTGTGTTACCGGTATTATGAGCAGTTGCATTCCTGCAAACATTGTGATAGCTTAATTATAAGTGGATCTGCATATACTTCCAACTTCAAAATGAACAAAATCTGTGTCTGCTTGCCTCCTGCTACATTAGACCCAAGTCCAAGTGTTTGTATTTATTTAATTTTTTTTACAAAGAAGGTGTATCCGCCATTTGGCTGAAAAACAAGCAAGTTTTCATTCAACACATATTTATCATTATATATATATATTTTTTTTGTGTGTTATTTTTTTTATTTATTTTAACGTGTTTCTCAGTTTTAATTGGAAGCAGGACAAAGTAAGCAGTTGGACTACATTTTTCAAAATTATATGTGCCTGTTGGAAGATGAAGTGGAACTGTGGCTCCCAGTATCTAAAATAATATAACTTTAATTTCATTTGCTTTCAATTTATTTGCAGTTTTTATTATAAAGCTGCATGTCGCATGCGCTGTGTTTACCATTATATTTTCATTGTTACTATTAGTTGAGTACCATGTCCTCAATACCTTGTGTGGCTGCGTTGGATTAGAAATATCAGTTGGATAACCATCTTCTCTGAGCCTACGTCTTATTATTTTACTTTAGATATTCCCTTTCCAATGGGCCTAAGGCTTCTAAAATATCTATGCAGTGGGGCATTTTGCCATTGGTAAAGTACAATCAGGAGAATTAACGTTTGTATTCCTTCAATGGTGCAACTTGTGTGGAAGAAATTTGAAGACTTGCGGTGCAATCTTTATCAATTCCTAATTGTGCATATTGTATCTAAGAAGCTTAAAGATAGACGACAGCGACAGCATCGAGACAGCAGTGAGCTAAGCCAGTGTACAGAACTGAAACATTGATGTGTGATCCCATATTAAATCAAAACTCAACCCACCATTAAAAAAAAAAAAAAAAACATAAAAAAAAAAGAGGGAGGGGGGGGGGGGGGGGGGGGAGAGAGACTGCAATCAGGTTAGCACAATAGTAAGTGAGTAAAAAAAGTGATATTTTAAAAAAAATTCTGTTCTTTCTGTTTGTTCGCTGACGAAGACTTTCTGCCGACACGTTCGTTGTTTTGTTGCGCTCCTTTTTTCAGGTTTAACCTTACTTTGTTTTACTCGCTTCCTATTTACAAAAAAAAAATGTGTAGCCTGGTTTAAAAAAACAACTTTTATATGCCCTCATTTTTATACTCTGAAACTTTTGAAATATCCACACTGATAAGTATAGGGCAGCTGTTAGTCATGTCATGTGGGGAAGAATGAAGATTTTAAGAAGTTAACACCGTTAGAACTTGATGGTCAGGGAATCCGGTTGGTAATTTGATGGATATTCTTGTGTTGTTAACATCATCACAATGGATATTTTTGTGTGATGGTCAAATGATCTTATGGGTGATAATGTGTGTCTTTCCCCCCCCCCCCCCCCCCCCTGTAAATAACTTTCTTTCATGCATTTAAACATTGAACTTGTAGATGTAACTTAGGCATTGAACAAATTTTCATTTTGTTGAATTAAAAGATGTGAAACAAACAGAAAGCAAGAGTTATCCTATTCTGACTAGAATGTTATGTCAACAGTTTTATTTAAGACTAGTCTTACTGGGCTTGTACTGTGTGCTGTGAATGGCATGTGTAGACGAGCATGTTTGTATCTTCTTCTTCAGCCTGTTGGCCTGTTCAGAGTGTTGGACTGTTCACATAATGTTGGTCTGTTCACATAGTGTTGGTCTGTTGACATAGTGTTGGTCTGTTGACATAGTGTTGGTCTGTTCACGTAGTGTTGGTCTGTTCATGGAGTGTTGGTCTGTTCACATAGTGTTGGTGTTGTGTCAGACCGGTGGTTAGCTCAGCGTGCTGGTATGTTTTCAGCATGTTAGTGTGCCATCCTCCTTAGGCTATTATGCTATAAATTATACCTTATCCGAAAGGAGATTTTATTCTTTCTATGTTTCCAAGTCTACATCTGTATGGGATATTTTAGTTTCACTTTCAACCAGGGGGGGGGGGGGGCGGGGGGGAGGGCTAAGGGGGTCCCCAACCCTTTCAATTTGAAATATCTCAAAGACCATTTAATTTCCATAAGTATAACAAAATGAGCTTAGAGAGCCAAGACTAAACGTGAACATACACATATAAGTCTTCAGGGTTTTGGTCCGGGATTTGGAATTTTTTTTCGGGTTGGAGTCTTTAGGGATTGCCAGTTTACCACGACAAACATGCCAGACGGCAAGTAACAGACAGGCTGGTCGATGTGGGATGGAGTTGCTCTCTTGTATGTTCGAGTGACCCTAGGCCTATATATATTGAGCGTTCCAATGTATTTTGTCATTCAAAGTTTTAATCGCATCCCTAAACTCCACCTGTTTTCTTCTTCTATATCTTATGGGCCCACGATCAATTTATTGATCATTTTGGCACACGTTGGACACTTAGTAAGTATAACGTTACTTTGGAGATGGTCTCGGTGGTTCGTCGAGTTCGCACTCATAATTACCCCCCCCCCCCGGGCACTCCCCCAAACGGGCCAAGTCCTCCCCCGAAGCCCCAGACCGTGCGGAAGCGCGCCGGGAACTTCATCGTCGAGTTCGCACTCATAATTACCCCCCCCCCGGGCACTCCCCCAAACGGGCCAAGTCCTCCCCCGAAGCCCCAGACCGTGCGGAAGCGCGCCGGGAACTTCCCTTACTGGCCTAAGGGACGTCCGGCAGACCAAGGGCGCTGCGTTTAAAGCGTCCGTAGTCCGCTCTCCTATGGGTCAGGACGGCTTTACTTCCTCTCCGGAGAGGTGGTGTTGCGTTACCACTCCCAACGCCCAGGGAGCTGTCCGGTCGGGACGTAGCGGGGACGAAACGGTCGCCTAGGGGCGGCTTTCTCAGGCCCGCGTCTTTTTAATCATTGACAAAGGTTTGGGCGTCCACCCATTGCCTCATACCCATCAACGGCAACAAGTAATCTTGTTAGCGCTAAACTTCCGTTGCGTTGGAAGTCATGCGTTTTGCCTGGGATCTTTTAGCTTCAGAAGGACAACTCCCCCTACTAGTCGGGCACGCCACGAAGAGGCAATATCCCTTGTAACACCACCGAGAGGCTTGTGGTGCTGGACAAGGATTTTCCAGAGGTCCACCCTTGCCCGCCCGCGTAAGTATAACAAATAAGCCTTTTATTGAACTATAAGTTCGGCAGTGTTTTAATCACTCGTTAGCTCCGCCAATTTGTTTTGTAACCATAATAATATTGTAATGGTTGAACATATGTCAGTCCACGAAATTTTTACATGGAATTAGATACCAGTGTGTACGTGAGCATAACACCAACCGTTATATGTTTCTGGTTGCACATAATTTCGGTCAAGAGTTTCGTGCTCGGCACCGCTTCTCCAGATTGTTAGTCAGGTTACACATACTGCAATGTGATTCAGCAGATTGTTTGTCAGGCTACACACACTGCAATGTGCTTATAAGCGATTGATGCAACAGTATCCAACCAGCGAATAGACGTAAAATATGTGAATTAGGTTAACTGTCCCGCCTTGTGCTAAATTCTCACACAGAAAATGGTCAATGTGTTAGGATACTATTACCAGCTGTATTCAATAATAAGACATTCTGCAATGTCCTGTTGTCTTAAAAAGACACAGTGATTAATTGAGACAAGTATCAAACTAAACAGTGGTTATACTTTATAACATTGTAGTAACTCTCCTTCTTCTATAGACACCATACATCTACGACAGTACAATAGTAATTTCTAGACCTTTATGTTAGCCCTCACATCTCACACTGATTCTGACTGTAACGCGGTGTAGGTGCTACAAGTTAAACTCTGCCATAGGATTTCTTTTATAATTAAACATTACGATATAATATAACTTTAATTGGCTTTTGTATAACAGGTACTATAATGGTCATCATGCATTTCTTTTGTTAGTTAAGTATAATTGTCATAACCTGTAATTACAGAGTTATTTAACACCATGACCAAAACATATATATATTTTTTTTCCCTTAGGATTTACTTCTACCACACCGCTTTTTATACAACACTCTAAGAGCCAATAAAAGGCAATGGTCCTCAAGACCTCAATTTATAAACCCACACATATACATATCTTTACTCCTGTCAGCTGCCTCTTCACCACACGGTCACATATTTTGCTGCGAGCAGGGTAAAATTGTGTTAACAACCAACAATCACATGCCACTGCGACGGTAGCCCATGCAGGACTGATGATTATTGTTGTGTGCATCAGGGCCGGCCTTTGGGGTGTGCGACCTGTGCCCTCGCACAGGGCGCCCAGCAAATATTTAAATTCCATAAGTTTATTATAGTGAAGTGTGGACCTCGGGTCCAGGGTCGAGAAACTCTATTCTAACTCTTCGTACACGGCGTGTGCTTAGGGCGCCATCAACGATCTTCCCAAAATAGGAAAAAAGCATTGCATGTGGACGCCATGGAAGAAAAATAAAAATAAAAAAAAAGATAGTCTGATACAAGTGAACAAAAAATTTTTTATTGTTCATTGTTTGATGAAAAAAAAAAAAAAAAAAAAAAAAAAATAAAAAAACAAATAACAGAAAA